GCTCCAACCTACGTTCAGTCAGAGTCCTCCTCAGGGGTGGCCTGGAAAACCGGCTTTGGTCATTCAAATGCTAATCCCCTCCCCAACCTGACACCTGTGTGGCTTCTATCTGTGTCATCTGGGCTCCAAAGTCAGCTGGCCCTGCATCCCTCTGACACCCAGGAAGGGCCCAGGGCGCTTCCGGAGGACTCAGCAGGGCTGTGCAGATGCGCATGCAGAACACTCCCCTTGTCCCTCACTTGCGTCTTTATGGCTTTTCCCCACAGTGGCCTAAACAGCCCCCTCCCCCACATCACAATTGCACACGAGGCCCAGTGATGCGGTTTGGTGTCTGTGCTGCCTCTCCAGCTACGGGGCCGGGAGGTCCGCAATCTAACCATTCACGTGGATGTGTATTTTTCCGTTCTCTTCCCATTCAGATACAGGGAGACCTTTCTTAGAGATGCACAGTGAAATCCCCGAAGTCATATACATGAATGAAGGAAAGGAGGTCGTCATTCCCTGCCGAGTCACTTCGCCCACCATCTCCGTCACTTTAAAAAAGGTAAAACTGAGCAATGCTCCTGGAATACTGTTACTGCCACTGAGCACGATGAACTCCGAGATATTTCATATCTGTGAAACGGTTTTCTTACAGACATTTGGGCTCCTGACTTTTTATAGCATCCTTTTACTATAACGCGTAAAGTGCTAGAAGTTACACCCATGTGCGTGTTTCAATGGAATAAAATGATAATTTCTTAAGCATAAACCTACGTGAATAATGAATTAAAATCGTGAAAATTTTGGTATTTGCCACAAATCCAAGTTTCTGCAAATGTGTGAAAAGCCAATTTATTGCTTACGCAAATTAATACGCTGGCAGAGCGGTTAACCCAGAACTGTCAGGCTGTCAGGCGGGCGCCTGATCCTCCAGGGCCCCCACCTATGTCACCTGGAGCCACCACCTTTGGTGTGAGCTGGGAACTTGCCTAAGGAAGGCTTATCTCCTGCTGGGCATCAAACTTAGCCTCTTGGGGGGACAAAAAGGGGGAAATGCTGTAAAGGAGATTTTTCTTCATATTATGTTGTAAATTGCGCACGTGGAGAAGGAAGAGGATTTGGGCAGAATCTAACAAAGACAAAACCGGGAATGTGACGTTCCGGCCAATGCGTCAGCAATAAGGGCTTAGGATTTCACTAGAGTTGAGTAAAAACTCCTGAAGAGAAGAACTGGGGTGAATCCCGAGAGCGTAAGAGCTTTAAGAGGACAAGCTCAGGGTGTCCGAGGTGGCATCTCGCTGTGCGCCCTGGAGGTGCTGCTCGGGGTGTGCGTGGAGCGGCTGGAAAGGGTCACCTGGTTCTCAGGATCGCCTGCGGACCCTGAAGCCTGACGCGAGGAGGCGTCTCCGGCCTTCTTCCTTCGCATTCACTCTCCTGTGCCGTCAGTCTGACTTAATTTAAGCACAGGGCCTCGGCACAGTCCACCGACAGGCTTGGGCTTCCACTGCGTCTGTGCGTCATCGCCAGGAAATGTAAAATCGGTGGACGTCACAGCTGGAAACGCCCAGGGAGTCCAACTCGGGTGGTGGAAGAACCCCAGGCCCCCCGGGGAGGCGGGGGCTTCCCGGGCCACAGCGGGCCCCGCACACACCCTGACTCCTCCTCCCGTGCCCTCGCCAGCCTCCTCCAGGCATTGAGTCTGGGCCGGAGGCAGGCCGGGGTGGTAAGAGCAGAAGCTGGGGCCTCCCTGCCTGGCTTCCTACCACCCTGCGCTTACCTGCTGGCTAAACTGGCACGTTAGCAACCCCTCTAGTGCAGGTGAGAGATGCCTGCAGCAGCGCCCACCTCACACGGCTGTTAGCAAGGCGGACGGGGTCACCTTCACAGGCACTTAGCACAGTGCCCTGTGCCAGGGCCCCAATCCGAGGGTTAGCTGCTGCTGTTACTTAACCTAGCACTTTGATACCCAGTACTTGCTGTGTTCCCGAGTCATGTGTTCGGTGGCGTGGCATCATGGCGTCACACTCTTAGTCCAAGGTGGTAACTCGTGTATGGCTGATGGGGAATACACCGCGGCGAAACGAACCTTCTCTGCTCCCTGCAAGCCCCTTTCTACCCGAATGCAGATCTGCTGCAAGGGTCATTCCAAAATTTCCACGTGTAAAATCTGGGGATGGGGGCAGGTGATTTACTCTGTTCTCCTACCTGAGATCTATAATACAGAGAGAGAGAGAGAGAGAGAGAGAGAGAGAGAGAGAGAGAGAGAAAGAGAGAGAGAGGGGCAGACAGACAGACAGACAGAGACAGAGAGACTGAGGCATAGAGTTCTAACAGGGATTTGGGGTTGACACATAAATATTGAAAATTCTCTGACTCGTTGCACGTGTATGCTGACATAACATAATATAAAGTCTTTCCCTGTCTTTTCTCTTATCGTCCCTTTTCTTTCTATTTGCCTTCCCCTCCCTCCCTTCTTCCCATGCCCGCTGTGGCGGAGCCATCATCAGCTGGAGACAGGGCCCCCTGTACAGTGCTCCCTTTCAAGGCTGCCCATGTGTCCGCCTCTTTATGTCACATGTAGTCACTGCCACAGCTGGCGAGCTACACGGTCTTCTGCTATTTTAGCTCCTGTCGGCTAGAAATAAAGTGATGTCGCCGATGAAATACTACTAGTGGCAGTAACGGATAGATCAGAAAAAGACACACTTTAATTCTACTATATTTTTAAGTCGTGCTGAGGGAGCCTATCAGCAAACCTGTCTTTCAGATTCGGTGCAAGCTTGTTTTCACATATTTTAAAAGCATCATGGATTTTAGTCTTGGACTTAAATTTTGCTGAATTTTCCCTTAGTAGTTTACACCAAATTAGAAGAGCGAGTTCTTTCTCCCCAGTGAACGCAAAGCATTCCTAAGTTTACAGCTAGAATCCCGACTTACTGAAACATGCCATGCGTCTTTGATTGCTTTCAATTCTTCACAAACAGGACATAATTCGTTTCAAACCCAGTAACACTCAGGTACCATATTCACAAATCCAGACATAGTCACTGGGAGAGAGGCACTGGTGGCTCTGGTGTTCAGCCACAGAACCACAAATCTCAGCCAGGATAGTTGCTTCAACAAGCAATACAAATAAATGATAAACAGAGTCGTGTAAGCTGCACTTTTTTAAAGAAGGTAGAAAGGATGTAAAACCTCACGACAACTGGCCTTTCCTTATAATCTCTGGCGGGGAGGTCATCTGATTTCCCCGCTTATATATCCCTATTAGGGATCTATAATAGTAACGGTCAGCGGGCACTGCTCCTGAGGGCGGGCACCCGGGTATCAGGAGAATCTGGCCCGGCCCCTCTGTGGAGCGGTGACCCTTGATGACGTCCGATCCCGAGGGAGACTGCTTACACTTGGCGTCTAGAAGAAGGTATAAGGGGAGAATCGAATCTGGATTCTTTCCTTCTGTGTGGACGTCCTGTGTGGGAGAGGCCCTGAGAGAGGGTCTGAGCGCACCGCACTCACTCATCACAGGGCCTCTGGCCTCCGCCTCCGCTGGCGACCTGGGCTCCGGGGGGACTTCCCGCCCAGAGGCGGTGGGTGCCCTTGGCCTTCTCGCGATGACCCTGTGAGTGCCGAGTGAATGCTCTGCCTCTGGGAGGGCCTGGAATGATTGCTCGTCCTTTTAAGACTGTCACCTCTTAGGTAAGTCGTGCAGAACGGGAGGACAAGCAGACTCCTGAGGATAACGGGGCAGCCCCAGTGGGAGACGTACAAATCGGTTTCTCTGCTGAGCCTCAGGCCAGTTTATTACAAAGGTTCCCAGAAGCCAAAGAGACGTGGGCTCCCACTAGAAATCGGACACGGCGACGTGGTCCCTCCAGGGCGGGTACAGGTTGTTGCTCAGGCTGATGATAAGTGACCATCATTACTCTAATTTATCATAATGAATTAGAAAAATAGCACACGCAAAGAAAACTAAAGAACCGCTTATAACAAACTGGATGTGTTTCCCCTGCGCTGTTTTTGTTGTAAATGAAAATGATGCTCGCACAAACTATGGGTGAAACGCCATTGCCACCGCGTCCGCACGGTTTCTTAAAGCGCGCTTCTCTCTTTTCAGTTTCCTCTCGAGACTCTGATCCCTGATGGAAAGAGGATAACCTGGGACAGCAGGAAGGGCTTCACAATCTCCAATGCGACATACAGAGAAATAGGGCTCCTGATCTGTGAAACCACCGTCAACGGACACGTGTACAAGACCAACTATCTCACATACCGACAGAGTAAGTGAACAGAAGCCGAAATGCTCAAGGGTTTAATCTGCTTCACAAACTCGGATTCAAAACAACCACATGTTATTTCTTCTGCTCGCAGCCAATATAATCCTAGACGTCCAGATGAGCCCTCCCGGCCCGGTCAAGTTACTCCGGGGTCAGACTCTCACCCTCAACTGTACTGCAACCACTCCCTTGAACACGAGAGTGCGAATGACCTGGAGTTACCCCGCTCAAGTGAGTGACCCATTTTTCTATTTCTTCTGTAGGAGAGTATTTATTTTTAGTCAGTAAAATGATGCGTTTTTGTTTTTTTGGGGTTTTTTTTGTTTGTTTTTGCGGTGGGAAAAATCAGAAGGAAATGTGGCGGTTTGGGTCAGTAAAGAAGCATTTAGGTTTGGTTCGGGTGCTTTCCTTGCCTGGCATTTCATGAGACTGATATGCACAGATATGGCCTTTTGATGTCCGGAGGTTTTGTTTTGAAGTGTATAGGCTGGTGTTTCTATTGCATGATTCTGGTTGGAAGAGGGGATCATTTCATCCTTGGCAACTATTCTCTAGGATTTAGAGATGAGAGAGAAATTTATCACTAAACGCCAGGCAGGGACTCTCCTTTGTAACAACAACGACAAAAAGTTGTTGTCAGCGCATTAATTTAAGATCCTGGCAGACAGTCAGGCACCTGATTGGAACATGTCTGGAAAAGATAACACCACCCGGCCGTCCAGTGTTCCACTTGTGAAGCGACAAAGGAGCAATCCTGCCCTTCAGAAAGACGAGAAGAGTGAGGACTTACTCAAATTGAACATCCTCACAAACAATCATCATTTGAAAAATGCGTAGATGGGGAAATCTACGGTACACAGTTCAGAAACTTGGACAGCAACCTCAGCCTTCGTTTCTTGTATGTCACTATGATTTATGTGGCATCTCCCAAGTGTGGTCACTTGCTACATCATTCAGATCGCCCAGTCACCAAGGCCACTGCGATGAAATCACGTGTGAGAGATTAATGCATCAGCCTCAAGCGATCGTTTGCCATCAACATTTCTTGCCATGGAAATAGAATAACTTAGCGACAAAAAGGTGTGACCACAGCCCGGCAGGGACACGTTAAAGACTCGTTAGTCATAAAGCGTTTTCTGGAAAGTGGTAGCGTTTCATTTAAATAGGAATGCTACAACTTGTGACAGTATTTTCTGGGTTTTGATAAAAATCAAATATGCTCAATAAATCAAGCAGTCTCAATAAAGCTAAGAGGGATGGAACTTTCACCCTGTTACGGCCGCTGCTCTAAGGAAGCGTGTGACGATACAGCCACTGAAAGCCACGGACCTTCTGGAATGGCGCCGTCCAGGGGAACGTCCGTGATGGAAATATTCTGTATCCCTGACACGCAACTCAGTAGCCGCACGGCTAACGAGCGCTCGGAATGTGGCCGGTGTGACTGAGGAGCTGAATTTTTAATCTTGTTTACTTTTAATTTAAATAGCCACATGTGGCTGGTGGCTGCGGTACAGAACAAAGCAGTTCTCAACCACGGGATCGGTGATTCTCCAAGGCAGAAACAAAATTAACGTCCTGAAACTGGGGAACGAACACAATCTCGCAGGGAGAAGGGAGAGGCGACACCTACGCACAGAGTCCGTGCTAGAAGTCCCTCGGCCTGTGATCCGGTGGACGAGTTTCTGGTTTTCAGCAGTGGTGACTAACATGTGTCTGGCTCCTGCTGAGAAGGGAGAAGATGGCCTAAAACGGGCATCTGTCCCCCGGGGAATAAGAGGAGAGGTGGGCGGAAGTGGGTAAAGCTGGCACGGAGGAGAGCCGAGTTAGAGACTCAAGGGTCCGCTTCCAAAGTCTCGTTCCCATGCCCGCTTTGGGGGAAAGTGACATATCATGCGGTATGAAATGTAATGCTAAAAAAAAAAAAAAAAAGGAAAGAAAAAGAGGAAGGAACGATGAAAGGAGAAGGCGGTATGATCTCACTTTCTCAGATCCGGGCTGGGTCACCGCGGGGCGGACAGCCTCGGCGCTCCTGGGCGTGGACAGCAACCCGTGGGGGCGGGGGGCGGCTGGACGGGTCTGAGGCTATGCGTGCCCCGAGGTCCAGCTAGTGTGGCAGGCACAGCGTGGAGAGTGAAACAGTGAGACTGGGCGTCACGCCCTGGCGGGAGGTGACGCGCTCTCACGCGGTGGTCCACTCAGAGGAACAGCGTCATAAGCCACACATGGAAGACGGCTGTCCGCGTCTGTGTGACCACACGCGTGACGGCTGCACCTAGAAGCGCGCTGCTGTTCAGGGGGCGTGTGTGCCCTGGGGACGGCTCCAGGTTTCTACCCGAGACCCAGCTCCTGGCCTGCTCTGGCCAGCGTCCCTGACACCTAGGGGTCCACCTGCAAAAGGACAGCAATCCTGCCCATCTGCCCGTGCTGGGCCGAGAAGCCCGCAGAGTCCATCTGAAGAGGAAGCGGTCAGCAGATGCCACCAGGCACCTGTTGGAAATACGTGCGGACAGACGTGGCCTCCCGACGTGTCGCCCCACGGGGCTGTGCTCCTCGGCGCGAAATGTTCGTGTGGGTCGCAGCTGCGCAGTGCTATCGATGTCGGCGTGAGCGGTCACTGCTCCTACACTGCTTACACGTTTCCTTTCCAGGACAAGAACAGAGCCTCCATAAGGCAACGGATCGACCAGAGCGATCCCCACGCCAACATGTTCCACAGCGTCCTCGTCATCGACCGCGTGCAGAGCCAGGACAGGGGCCTTTACACCTGCCACGTGACGAGCGGCCTGTCCTCCAAGTCTGTCAACACCTCGGTGCACATATATGGTAAGCGGCTCACGCCCTGCCCCGTCATCGCCGGGATGTGGGAGGTTCTGTAAACGAGGACATTCCCTTTCGGCCGCGGGGCACGCTGTCACCAAGGAAGACTTTCAGGAGCGGCTTTCTGAGCTTGTGTTATTGCGATGGAGACATGTGAAGTGGCCCCCTTCCTGTCGCCCTGCCTGCTTTTGCAGTACTCATGGGTCACTATCTGGGCTCGCCGCAAGGCCTGATCGTAACCCAGCTCTGTCCATTTAGCCACTGGTTGCATCCTCCTTGAAGGAGGCAGCCATGGCTCTGTTTCTGTTTTGTGTGCGCAGACTCCCTTCTAATGTACTGATCGCCTCTTTCAAAGGTAAAGCGTTCATCAGCGTGAAGTACCGAAAGCAGCAGACGCTTGAAACCGTGGCTGGCAAGAAGTCGTGCCGTGTCTCCATGAAGGTGAAGGCGTTTCCCCGGCCGGAAGTGGCATGGTAGGAGCAGTCACTCTGTACGCGTGTGAGCGGGGGGACTCGGGGACTCAGGGGCTGGGACGCTGAGGAAAAACCAAGATGAGATCCGCAGACCGCAGTGGAGCGCTGAGTCTGGGACTCTGAGTCGGGGACGGGAGTGGTGTGGGCTGGAGGGTCGGGGCAGGGCTGGAGGGTTGGGGCAGAGCGGGGCTGGGGCCGAAGAGGCCGGGGCAGGGCTAGGACCGGAGGGGCCAGGGCAGGGCGAGGGCTGGGGGGCCGGAGGGGGGCTAGGGCTTTGGAGTGCTCGTTGCACTTTGGTCTTTCACTCACTGTGACCAAATTTCTGCCTCTCTAAACCTTCCTATGATGTCAGCATCCTCTGAATGGAACGTGTTGGGCAATGACTAGGACGCATCCTGAATAAATAACATGCTCCATTAACCCTGAAGAAGTGGGCCCTTGTGACGAGGATAATAATTCTTTTATTATCTGCAAATAATTCTTTCATATACAGCTGGGTTGAAAGTTCCAGTCTTGTTTTAAAATTAAACAAATATTAACAGAGACAAGACTTGTTCCGTCGCAGAGTGGACAAATGGACCTACTTGAACTAATTAAGTTTGTTTTGGCTCCAAGTCTGCATATTCAGAAACTCCTTAAGCAGATATTTTTTAATGCTCGTACACACCTGATGTAAAACAATGTAATCTGTTTATAATCTGCAGTCATTTTAAAAATCACTTTTAAACGCCAATATCCTTGGCTCCGGCCATTACATTTTAAACAAAGAGTGCACCACGAAACTGACTGGGAAAACAGCCATACAATACAGAGGTGGTGCCACGTCAGGATCTCCCTACCCGGGGCTTATTTTGCTCCCAATGTCAGATGAGCATTGTGTTTGTTTTCGGTTTCCTGAAACGCTTAATAGGTAATTGAATCTGCGCTATGCCCCTTCGCGCCGTGAACTAGGAGAGATGTTGGAGGTTTCACATCTGAAGCGTTTCACAGTAAGCTTCCCACGGGTGTGCATCATCCCTTACCAGGAGTTTCATCTTCCCTTGCCTGACAGTGTCCCCTCTGGTCACTAAGTAGCAAGGACCTTAAACAAAGCCAAAAAATCCATCCATTTTCGAAAAGCACTGACTCGTTCATGGGAAATCATTGGAAGTCACACTAAGGTGGTGTTTGTGACCGCTTTGGGACTGAGACCACGAGCAAGGGGGCTCGGCTGCCGGGCTGTGTAACAGATGCGTGAACACGAGCCAGGCCCACTCCCAGTGTTACGGACCTTTATACGGAGCGCAGTAAACTGACAGACCAAAACCTGCCCCTTTCAAAGACCATGCCATTTAATGAAATTATAGAATTTTAGAGTTAGAAGAGATCTTTGAGAAATTCCAGAACACGTGGCGAAACTGGGGCCCGCACGGACACGTCAGGGGTGCAGGGCACCGTGGCAGAGCGTCCAGCGCTCGGGCCCCTGCTTTCCTGCTCCCCAGTTCTGTGCACAGCTGCAAGATCTCTAAGCATCGACTCTATATTCAAGGTTTAAAAATACTTTCTGTAAGTTTATACCTTCTGTTTGTGAGTTTCGTGCCTTAACTCTTCTTCCTCAGGGAGAAAAAAATCTTGATAATCTTGATTTCGTGATAGTTTCTGAAAGGGACAATTGGTATGACCATTTATATAACTAATAAGAACTCCACATTGAGACCACAATAGGAAAATCTATTTTTATTTTTATCTGGAGAAGTGATCTAGTTGATCTGACGTACAATGGCCCTTGTATTGCTGATGGAGCCTCATGGAAAACTCTGGAAAACATCTCGAGTGGAATCAGCTGGTGCCTCTGGGTTAATACTTAAGTCACAGCGGCGACCAGGCCCCTTGTGGGTACATTAAACCATCACTTTGCTGTCTCCCCTCAGCTTACTTCTTCCTCTTTGCCAATAAAGAGGAAGCATTTCCCAGTCTCCAGATCACACCTGGCTTTACTGAAAAGTTAGCGTCCACATTTTTTAATGAACACTGAGGATCAGAGGCTTGAAACGCATAACCTTGAGCTCACGAAGGTGAACGGCAGGGTGAACTGACTTCCTGGCCATGTGCTTCACCGCAGGCTCAAGGACGGGTTACCTGCCACGGAGAAATCCGCTCGCTACTTGGTTCACGGCTATTCGCTAATCATTAAGGACGTGGCTGCCGAAGACGCGGGGAATTACACAATCCTGCTGGGCACGAAGCAGTCAGACGTGAACAAAAGCCTCACAGCCACGCTCATCGTGAACGGTGAGTTCACTGTCATACTCTCTCGTGGTTCTGCTGGTGGTAAAATCAATGAAACTCTGTAAACCAGAAGTCAGTATGACAGCATCGAAGAAAACACAAATTCAAATAATTATTTTAAAAACCACTTCCACATGTGACATGGCTTTTTGTAATTATCACCATGCCGTATCTACTACTATGGAGTCAGGTTTTTAATGCTCTCGAAACACTTCTACTTTTTAAAAAACTGGCACTATCGTGACAGACGGGAGGGTGTGTCTGTTCCCCCGACATCAAAACCGGTGACAGTGTGGCCTGCGTGCCGTGGCCCAGGCGGCCGTGACTTCACTTCTGTTCTGTCCTCCGCCCCTCGGCAGTGAAACCCCAGATTTACGAAAAAGCCGTGTCGTCATTTCCGGACCTGATTCTGCACCCCCTGGGCAGCCGACAAAGCCTGACTTGCACCATCTACGGCATCCCTCAGCCCGTGATCCAGTGGTTCTGGCAGCCCTGTAACCACAGTCACTCGAAAGCAAGGTAGGGACGATTCGTTTCTTGAAAAACTTTCGAATCCTTGTTGACACCTGGATCAAGGTTCTCTGCTGGGCGCGGACGGGCGTCTGCAGACGGGCATCTGCTGATGGGCGTGCAGTGCGTCGGGGGCCAAGACCCTGTGCTGTCCAGTCTTCCTTCCCCTTTGCCAACCGTTTCGTAGCTGCTCCCTCTGGCTTATAGCTTTAGCAGCACAGGGACCGAAGCGAGGTCCCTGTGAGCCGTCACTGGGCACTCGGGTCGGGACTCTGGTCTCGTTTTCCTGTTGCTGACCCCCAGACTTTGGCTTCGCACCGGTCTCCTAAACAGCAGGGACAACCGACCTTCCCAGCAGCAATGGTCGCGGCCGCTCGCAGGCTTTGCTCACGCTCTCCCATCTGGCTGACGGGTGCCCGTCTTCTGTTTCCCACGAGGTCCATCTTTCACCCCAAAACTCAGCTCGCACTTTGCCTCTCTGTGAAGCCCCCCGACCGCCTCGTTCGGCGTGGACGGCACTTTACGCCGTGACTGCGTCACCAGGTGTGCCTACCTTGTCTGTTCTCCAACCTCCGAGCGCTGGCCCAGTGTCTGACACACTGTGGGCGCTCGCGGTGTGCGCTGGATGCAGACACCCCTACCCTCTGTTAACTGTGCACCGTCCCCTTGCAACCTGACTGGGCCCTGTTGGCTTTTTTTGCATTTCTGTTTAGAGGGATGGTACTGATAGTTCGTGGGAGCTCATTTGATGGACAGGACTGGAATTGACAGGTACGACCATAAGATATTATTGAGATTGCCCAGGAATTGTCATTATGCCAGAAATTTTCTTTATTGCTTTTAACTCTACTTGCAGAGTGTTTGGGAGAACTGTTATTTAAAAAATTTAGCTTGCCGAAAGCAAACAAGACATAGTTCTAACCTAAACAGACAGAAGTGGCTACTTTTAATTATTTTAATTTTCTAGATTCTCCTCGCAATGTCAACTCTTCTTCACTTTCTGTACTAATCGTTTCTTTGAGGCATATTATTCTGATGTTGAAGGTTACTGCTGAGTTATGGGAACAGCCTGAGAAGTAGCTGTTTTCATACGTGTCTGATTTCTCATCTGAAATATGGAGAACTTAAAAATCTTAAATTCCTCATTTACCATTGTGGATATTTGACGCAAAAGAAAGTGAGATATACTTTCTTTTGTTTATGTGTTTGTTTTGCTAATTGGGGGGGTGGGCATCCATATTAATGGACCCACCTCTTTAAGGCCTAAAATATTTGGGCTAACCAAACACGTAAGTAAATTGAAAATAACTAAATAATTTAAGCTATTAGATTTGGATGTAAGTGTTGGGTTAAATTTTTATGGAGTAACAGGCTTTTCCAGATATTTTTAATTTTTGTTTTGACAAAGGCAAATCTAAAACTTCAGTTCTATTTAGGATGACAGCTAGTAACTATGTTATAAAATAACAATTATGAGTGATAGAGCAAATCATTATAAAGCTAGGTGTGAATAATGCTAATAAAATATGATTTGGGGAGTGAGGTCAGCGGAAGTGGAACTTTGGAAACATCGGCTCTTTTTGTCCGATTTCTGTGTGGTCTGGGCGCCCTCTCCCATGTCGGGGGGTTATATTGCCCAGGACCCCCAAAGTTGCCCTATTCCTCGTGGAATTCTCTCAAGACTCAGAGCAGTGCCTTAAATCTTCAATAAATGCCCGTTGACCATTTGACTCATTCTTTGTTAAGGGCTTTGCGTTTTTTTATATTTTTTACCAATCGCAAGATAGATCAGAAATGGAAGCTTTAAAACTGTTTTCAGTGATGCTTCATTTTAAAAAATACGTTGTTGCTTGAAATTATCTGCTGAAAATGTGGTGCTTGGTGGTTAAGTCAGCACATTAAACTTAGAAGTGTTTCAGAAAAATTATGGGGCCTTTGTGCGCTAGCAAACAAACAGAATGACTCTTTCACCCTGACAGAGAGAGCTGAGCTAAAATCGACAGGTAAATGAAACTCTCAGTAATTACTAAAAATTTTCAAATGTATCTTTATATAAATATATTCTGTGTACTCAGATTAACACTTAGATTCAGTTGTAGACAGGAATTTTAGAAAATGACATTTGAATAAGGGATGTTCTATTGCACAAATTTTGAATTACATAGTTTTGAGTTTGCATGTAACCTATTTGCATAGTGGTATCTGTGCGTGATCATCAAGAGAGATTAGGTGATTAATATACGGCAGGTCCTCAAATAGTCGTTTCGGTCAAAGTTGTTTATAACATTGCTAACATTATAACATTGAGAAAGATGAAATAAGTCCATTCCGGGCCGGGGCTTCATTCCGTGTGTCCTCTGTCCGTGTGTCCTCTGTCTGTGTGGAGTGTGCACATTCTCCCCGTGACAGTGTGGGTTTCCTCCGGGGACTCCGGTTCCCCCCACGTCTCAGAAACGTGCCCGTGAGGGGACCTGGCCTGTCCCTACTGTCCCCATCTGAGCAGGCGTGGACAGGTATGGGAGGCCCTCGGATGGAAGGGCGTCCTGTCCAGGGTGGGTCCCGCCGGGCGCCCTGAGCTGCCTGGATGGGCTCCCGCCACCGCGACCCTGACCTGGGAGAGCGCGCTGGAAACTCATTATCTCGCTTTTCTTATTCGTCTGTCCTCGATGGATGTCGAGCTCACGTTTCCTTCCGTGTTTAACAGCAGAAGGGTTCGGGGTCTTTATTTGGAAGTTTGGTGACATTTTTGTGACCAGAAATATGCCGTGGGAACTTAACTCGTTTCTATCAATTAGCCTTGGGAGACGCTGTTTTCCTTATATGTCATTTCTTAAAGTCACAGTGTCCAAGAACCTATCAACGACATCGAGGACTTACTGTACACATGTTACTCTTGAATTTGTAAAACAGTTTTTGGTATTTACATTTTAGGCTCTATTAAAGGACATATCTATATACGGACACAACCAAAGCATTAGTTTTGAGGCTGGAATGTGTTTAAGTAGAACCACACTAATAATTGGTTAATGCATCTAGGTTAAAGAGGTTCAGACTAACTCAAATTGTATAGTTTTCTGAAGTCTAATAAATATATAAATATATTTTAAAACTTATCAGAACTACTGCTCAAGTAGTTCATCCTTACGGATATTAAGAAACATAAATACATTTAACAGAAGTTTCCTTCTTTTTAAAAAGCAATGTGGTAAACTGCTGAGCTGTGTTTTAACTGAATAACACTGGTTCGATTCACCTAGAATTTGTTCTTATTAGGGAAAAAGAGAGGGAACGGGTGGTTTCTTTTCAACTAATGAGCTGAGAGGAAATGGAGCGAATCTTTCTCCCTTTTACTTTTTTTGCATATTTGGGCGGTAAAGTAGAACTAGAATATTTCTTTTGCATTTTTAAGAGCATGCAAAGTCACTACCACTGAATGAGGTAGAATTTGGAGTTCTTCTCATCCTCAGGAAGTGGCAGAGACTTCTAAGTACAAATCCCTAAATTTGCCCGTGTTGGCTCCGGCATGAACCCAGGCGGCACGCATGAGAGCGTTAGCTTACAGTCCCCTTCACGTGTCA